AGACTACAAAAAAAGACTCGCTGTTTGTAAAATAAAAATAAATAAATAAATAAATAACAACTTAGGAATTTAGTTTTTTTTAACTTTTTGACTTTTTTAGGTCATACCATCTCTTAATTTTTTTTTACACAAAAAAAAAAAATTAAAAAACTATCTTTTAACTTACTTTCCATGCCAAAATCTCAAAGTAGTCCATTAAGACCTCAATTAGCAAGTAGTGATTTTAATCAAAAAGTCAAAAAGTTACTAAAACAATCAAAAAGCTAACAACATATACCAAAAAGTCAAAGATTTTATTTTCTCTTTACTTTTTACACATCTCATTACAACATATAAGAGTTTTAGAGACCAAATATTTTGGTCTCTAAAAATAAAAATTTTGTTGCAAAAGGTATTTCGAGATCAATTTTTATCAACGTGAGAATAGTCGCTAAATGGTCGTCCCGAAAAGTAAAAAATAAGACTTTTAGCGACAAAATTTTGAAAATATCACTAATAAATAGTCTTTTAGGTACAAAATAATTTAATCTCAAAATAGTTTATTTTTTGTGACAAAATTTGGTCCCAAATAGATAATAATTCATCACTAATGTCCTATTTTTTTGCTAAAAATATAATAATGATATTTTTCACAACAAAAATATTTGTTCCCTAAAAAATAATTGTCTCTAAATTTTGGTCCTCAAAACCTTAATTTTTTTGTAGTATTTTTTGTAAAAAATCAAAAAATCATCCCAAACAAATTAATTTTTTTTACATCATATTTTAATCAAAAAACTAAAAAATTACTAAAAAATCTGTTCCCAAACAAGGCGTATAGAATGGCCTACCAGCTGATGATAAGCGTATTTTTTTTTTTTGGGGGGTGGAAAAGAGGAAAAGACTTTGGTGATGAAATACAACAAATTGTTACAAAACCTTAATTTTTTTGTAGTATTTTTCGTAAAAAAATAAAAAATCATCGCAAACAAATTAGTTTTTTTTACATCATATTTTAATCAAAAAACTAAAAAATTACTAAAAAATCTATTCCCAAACAAGGCGTACAGAATGGCCTACCAGCTGATGATAAGCGTATTTTTTTTTTTTGGGGGGTGGAAAAGAGGAAAAGACTTTGGTGATGAAATACAACAAATTGTTACAGTAGAATGTGTATGGAAAAATTACAAATTAGTTGTACTTTTAAAAAATAATTATATATATGGAAAAGTTTATATTTTTAATAATTAAACTTCGTAAAATTTATCATTAATTTGATTTTTTCCCCTCAAATATACACTCCGTTGTTATTCTCCCAACATATATCATAGATTGGAGGGGATTGTTTGGACCTGTAGGATTCACCATATGTTTTATTTTCATAATTTGAATTATTCATTTTGTCAGACCATTCGTATATATTATTCACACAAAAAATTAAGTTGATCCGATAATCGTAACTCATTCAATTTATTACATTTCTCTATAAAAATATGGATGCAAATGTATTTTTAAAAATATGTCATTTATATTTTCTAACATGCTTATAAATTGAATAGATTATGAATATTGAATTGATCTAATTTTTTTTAATAAATGATACACATAAAAGGTCTAACAAAATAAACAATTTGAATTATTGAAATGGGATTTGTGATAAATTTCATAGACCTAAATTGCGCCCTCTAATCTAGCTAATAAATTGGAGGAGATCCAAGCTCTATCTAGGGGTGTAAATTTGGCCTGGCCCACTCAGGTTCGAGCCCGGCCCGGCCCGGCCTGGCTCATGTCGGACTTGACGAGCTCCTGCTAAAATTCAAGCCAGGCTAGGCCGGCTGACGAGCTAGAAAATTAGGCCCCGGCCCAAGCCCAAGCCCAAGGGGTATTCAGGCCTTGGGCAGGCCTGTGGACCGGTGGGCTAGGGCTTGGGGCGTGGTTGGCGGGCCTAAACAATTTTTAAATTTTTTTTTTAAATTTTTTCTACCAAAATTTTATTATTTGACACTAAAAAACACATTGAGCTTCAGGCGAGTCAGGCCTCGGGCCGGGCCTTGAGTGAACCTTAAGCGAGCTGATAGGTCGGGCTATGGGTTTCAAAATGATGGCCCAGGCCTATGCCCAAACCCAAGGTCTCGGGCTGGGCTCGGGCCCAAACCAGACGGGCCTACCCCGGGCCACGGACGGGCTTTGGACCACCCACGGACTGGAGGCCATTTTTAAACTCCTAGCTCTATCAATAAAAAGGAAAGAAAAATGCAAACTGTATCACGGTAAATCCCTTTCATTCCAACTACGTTCAGACAAGAAGTTATTTCTAACCATACAAGACTGAAAATGAAAAAAAAAAAAAAAGTTGATGGAATGTCACATTATTGTCTTCATTCAGAGTGAATTGTTTTGCAATTGTTGACACGTGATTTTTTTTTAAACATAATTAAAATTTATTTTAATTGTAATTTTTGAACATTAAATCTTGTTTGTGAAATTTGCTTAAACCTTAATTTGTATGGAATTGAAATAATATAGTTGTGATTGACTAATTGTTTGACTGGTTTCGTTTGGCAGGTAAGTGTTTCAGTTTAAAAGTCAAAAAATTATTTAAAAAATAAAAAAAAAACTTATGATCTATATTAAAAAATAATTTTTTTTTTACTTTTTGTATATCTTTTCGTAAACATTAAAAAGTTATTCCAAATATATTAATTTTTTACCTTATATTTTAGTTAAAAAATCAAAAAATTACTTAAATAACTTGTTCCAAACGAGGTCTGATAGCAGAGCTTGCTAAAATTAAATTCTAAATATAAATGAACGAACAGTTGAGGTAAATTTTCACCTACCCATCTAAAGGCAGACATGGACTGATAAGATGGGTTCAGATGCTTTTTATTACGACAATGCTACGTAGCTCAAATTTTGTGGCTCAAAAGTGGCTCAAATGGCCAAAACGACGTCGTTTTGAGTGCAGAATAACATAAAATGGCCAAAACGACGTCGTTTTGGCCATTTGAGCCACTTTTGAGCCACAAAATTTGAGCTACGAGACATTTTCCTTTTTATTAAACAAAAGAAAAATGTTTGAGACTTTTATTTTTTTAAAGACCCCCGTAATTTTCTTTAGATCTTTACCATTGATGATGTGGGCCTTACACATATATAAGTGGGTCTCATACATACATCAATGATGAAGATCTAAAGGAATTGTGGGAGTTTCTAAAAAATAGGGGTCTCAACTATTGTTGTACTTTTTGTATATCTTTTCGTAAACATTAAAAAGTTATTCCAAATATATTAATTTTTTACCTTATATTTTAGTTAAAAAATCAAAAAATTACTTAAATAACTTGTTCCAAACGAGGTCTGATAGCAGAGCTTGCTAAAATTAAATTCTAAATATAAATGAACGAACAGTTGAGGTAAATTTTCACCTACCCATCTAAAGGCAGACATGGACTGATAAGATGGGTTCAGATGCTTTTTATTAAACAAAAGAAAAATGTTTGAGACTTTTATTTTTTTAAAGACCCCCGTAATTTTCTTTAGATCTTTACCATTGATGATGTGGGCCTTACACATATATAAGTGGGTCTCATACATACATCAATGATGAAGATCTAAAGGAATTGTGGGAGTTTCTAAAAAATAGGGGTCTCAACTATTGTTGTAAACAAAAATTTCATGTTACGGTAAAATTAAAAAAATAATTATAAATAAGTGATACAATTTATAAATATTAATAATTAAATTTATATTTTTTAATAAATATGTAATAATTTATTTAAGGGAGACTTATTTGTAAGTCCTATTTTGGATACTTATGCTATGTTAAGTCCTATGTAATTTCTTATAAAGTTTCAAGTCCTATTTAGATAGGAATGTATTCCACAAGATCTTATGAGTTGTAAATAAATGGTATTAATATACTATTATACACTATAATGGCAAAACCATATATAGAAAATTGAATGTTACCATAGATCACATTCAATTTAAAAAATAAAAAACCTAGTAAGTTTGCGAAACGTAACGTGACACGTTACATTACGTTTATGTAAGTGTTACGTTACGTTACGTTATGTAGGTGTCACGTTACGCTATGTGTCACGTTACGTTTCGCAAATGTGTATTTTGAAATTCAAATTCACATTCATATAAATATGATTTACGGTAACATTCAATTTCCTATATATAGTTTTACCATTATTTATGATATTAATAACTAATATTGAGGGTAAATGTGTCAACAAACTTCACACAGGACTTATGAGAACATAAGTTTTTTAGTAAGACCATATGTAGCATAAGTCTCCCTAATAAGACTCATAAATATTTTTTCCTTTATTTAAATTATTAGTAATTTATAATTTTTCCCTTTATTAGTAGAGATATTTTATTACATTATTTAATGATTATAATTATTTGTTCACAGAAGCTGAGTGCCGGTTCCACTACCATTCAACAAATTTAACTATTAAATATTTTATTCAATACTACCGTAATATTTGATAATTTATTTGATATCTCTAACGTTATTTTTTTGACATCACTCACATTACTCTTATAAAAACTAAAACAGTGTTTCAAAATGTACTCCAAAATAAGGTGTATTCACTGCTGGAAATTAGGTTTTTAGTGGCGTTTAAAAAACGCCGCCATAGCTATCAAAAACGCCGCTAATTGTTTTTGTGACGTTTAGTACCAAATGTCGAAGAGGCGGCCGTCGCTGTAGCTTTATGACGCTTTAAAAGCCTCACTATATTAGTATAGGCGGCGTTTTTGAAAACGCCGCCAAATGTGCTGCATAACTCTACAGTGATGTCACATCACATTTAGCGACGTTTTAAAAACGTCGTGATAGATCTTTTCTATTTAAAAATATAACCATTGGCAAAATTCTATAGCGGCGTTCAAAAACACCGTTGTAGCTTCATTTAAAAAAAAAAAATTGTGCTAATTTTGTGAGATTTAACTAAAAAAAATACCTGTAATAAAGATGAAAAATATTCAATATATTGACTAAATTTAGGTAAACATAATACTGGATCAATTCATGCTTCTCAATATGCAAAAATATTTCAATTCCAAGATGAAATAAAATTAAACTAATGCCTAGTGGTAAGTTGAAAGTTATTACAAAACAAATCGGCAAAAAAGATGCAATTCAAACTAATTATACATACAAGTACTATGAAAGACCGATGCCTTTCGGGTTTAATTTTTCCCAGGAGTGTTTGTTTCCTGAGAAATTGTTGGGGAATTGGTTGCCAACAGGGGAGAATGGTTTGATGTCATGAATTGAACTAGGAATAGGACTCATTGTTTCAATTTCAGAGTGACCCATTGCTTGAAACCCATTGAAGAACCTTGGAGAACCAAAGAAAGAAGAAATGGGTATGGTGTGATTTGGGGAGAGAGAAGCTAGAGAGCTCTGGTCCGCCATTAGAGCTTGCTTGGTCGTCACTACTATATATCTATTCCTCAGCATAATGACCAAATTAGATAAATTCCACTGCAAATCACAGATTCAGAACTTAAGATAGAGAATCAGAAAAAGTAAATCATCTTAAGAATTAAACTCAATGATGAGAAATGTTACCCGAAACTCAAAGAATGGAAAAGTCTCCTAAATTTCTTTAGCTTCCATGGCTGACTTTTTTTTTACTCCTTGATTTGTCTGTGTGTGATCTTGTTCCATCAGCAAGAACAAGAATCGATTGACACTCGCATGCAAGCCATGCGATCAACGTTGAGCTGCTCTGCCATTGACATGTGTGTTGTTGATCTGTGGACTCTCAAGTTTGTGCATTGAATTTTCTCTGTTCTCTCTTCTCTTAGTGGGTTTTCATTTTCATTGTCATCAATTACTTATATGTTGAGTAGAGAAAAGAGACAAGTTAGAGAGAAAAATGTTCTATGGGCTGGTGGCATTTTAAAGAAGGAAATCTGTTAAATGGGAGTAAAAATTAATGAGTCATGCTAGGATACTAAATAGTTTATTAAATTTTTTATTAAACTTTTTATATGGGTGTGGTTTCATATTTATGTGAATCAGCTAGAGATCTATTATCCAATGGTCACCAACGAGAACAACCTAATAGAGAAATCTATTATCAGAAAAAGAAGCAGATAACAATAGACTAGAAAGTAGCATATAAAGACTTGTTTACTTGCTTCACGCCAAGAACCAAGGGAATAAGACACTCGGGCTCAGTTGCTTGAGTAGATTCATCAATAAGGACCTATAAACAGATTGAAAGCAATCATGTAAACCAGAGCAGAAAAGATTGGCAATCCTTTATGACAGTAAAATGTTCACAAACCAACATTGGAAAGGATGGCTTGGCATGTTTTTCGAAAAGTTGAAAACCACTAAACTGAAAAGTAATCCTGCAAACTGGAATTTTAAAGAAACCTGATAGTGAGAAAAGAGACAAGTTAGAGAGAAAAATGTTCTATGGGCTGGTGGCATTTTAAAGAAGGAAATCTATTAAATGGGAATAAAAATATTTGACCAATTAACAAGTAAACAAACCTGATAGTGATCAGTTAAATGCTCCACGGGAGAACTTACAGCTTCCCTTAATTTTGCACAGAGCCTAACAACCTGGTTTAATTAAAAAAAATTAAAAATCTCACATCAATGAAAAACAAAAAATCAAATATCTCAAACGGAAAATCAACATTTGTCCTCATGTTAAAAAAATACATGAATATACTAATGTTGATTGGGAAGATGATTGTCTGAACAATAGACCAAAAGTTATACCACACAAATAAAGCCAAAAGATCAATGGCTCAAGTAAAAATACTTGTAGAAGGAAAGCATTAAAAACCCTTGGAATACAACCCTCTTTTTCAGGGGGTGAAGTAAAAGGCAATAAAAAAAAAATTTAACAAGGAAAACTCTCAACCAAATACGCTGAGGAACAGCAAGTTGTTGTCAACAAAAGAAATGCCATCAAATCAATATTTTGGGTGGTCTTTCTTATTCTTTCCCTTATTTGGAAAAATTCTAAAAAATTTAGAATCTCTTTTTCTCCAAGCCAAAGCAGAGCCCAAATAGCCAGGTACTTGGCTCAGCTCTGCACATTTGCAGCATTGACTTCAGCAAGTGGCCAAACAAATTATGCACACATGCCTGACACAAACTAGATAAATGCATCAAACAATTTAAGTACCATGATAAAATAAAACAACCAGAGCTAGTATTGCTATAGATATGGTTTTATGATCAACCAAACAATGCATACCTTCAATCCTGTTGCACTGATCTTTTCAGCTAGCTGGTCAACAGCCACATTACTTGGAGCACAAACCAAAACCTGATAGCAACAAATAATCAAAAGGCATGTAATAAAATACAAGATCTTAGTAATTGAAATACATGCTAATGAATTTACCTGGCCTTGGCCTTGTTTGGCCATATGGTATACAATTGTTGCAGAAGTCGTAGTTTTCCCTGTGCCAGGTGGACCTTGAAAAGACATAAACAAGATATCACGAACATAAATGTGAAGGAAGAAAGATACAGAAGTTGTTGAAAACCGGTCGCTACTTCCTTTGTTATGTGGCAACATTTAAATGCCACTTTCTGAAGGGTCTATCGCATATATGATATCAGTACATTTAAAAAGAAAGAAAAAATAGAAATGAAAAGCGGGAAAGTGCCTAGGAGCAATCGATCAACTTCATTTATTAAGAGAAAAATGCTTCACACTCAACTGTTTGAACCAGAAGAAGCTAAAGATGTTCTTGTGAAAGAGAATCGCAACAAATTTGAGTAGAAAATCACGAAAAGACAATATCAAAAACATTTAACCCATAGCACGTATTAGTTAAACTAAAGTATAAAAACATTGACTTGCAACATTGGTTGATTGAGGTTGTGAAAAACTTACAAGTTAAACAAAGAACCTTTATTAGAATATATCCACACACACAGACAAAGAGAAACGTCAATTATGAAAGTAAAATTAATGACAAATCAAGAATAAAAAAGTAACTAACAATTTTTGTTTTCTTGAAATGAATACATAATGATGATGGCATTGCTACTACCAATATCGAAAAAACAATACCATATGAAAAATCACATGACCAAAAGTACTATATATATTTCGCACAATTTTATTGCTTTAATTTTTTGTTTCCAATATGCTGAAAGTCTTAAACAGATGCCATGTACCTTTTGCAAGTAGATCAAAGAATTGAAATTTAAAAAAAAAAAAAAAAAATCGTCATTTTGAGCAAATGATTTCAGAGAACAAAACAACAAACAAATAAAAAATGGCAAAAAAAAACTTAAATTCCAAGCAAGAAAGAAAGAAAGAAAGAGAGACAACAAAAGGAAACAAATACTAACCTCCATCACCACAAGAACGAGGCATGGTTTCGGTTGTAAAAAAATGGGGGTTACATAGGATTTGTTTGGGATTCTACTGGACTACTAGATAGGATCATCTGAGAATTGTAAGATGATACCAACACTGACTTTACACAACATTAAAGTATATAAGTCAGGGAAGAGTAAAGCGAAACCCACCAACATCAACCACCTTCCTGAAACTAGCAAAGTGGCAAAGTGGCAAAACCAGCTCCACTTATTCCTTCACCCATTGTGACACCACCACAACCATTATGCCCCTCTCAACCACCACAACCTCCTCAGCCTCCACCACCACCACCACCATACCACCACCTCCTCCATTACCAACTTCAGCAAAGAGAAATCCTGCACCACTACCTCCACCACCTGGGACTGGTGGTTTGGTTTTATCAATGAAACCCTCTTCTGTACCAAGGGGAAAGACAAGCATCAATAGTAGGGTTGAGGCTCCCAATGGAGAAAGCACAAAAGGGATGAAACTGAAGCCACTGCACTGGGACAAGGTTATAGCTAATGCTGATCATTCAGTGGTCTGGGATGAGATCAATGATGGATCTTTCCGGTAAATGAGGCTTTGAATTTCCATAATGAACAAAAATGGATGGGCACAAAACTGGATAGCAGATTTCCAGAACTAAGCATAGAACCATCACGTTGAGTTCAGAGAGAAGACCAGACTGTACTGTAAAGGAGTCTCATCTTGATGTAGAACCTGCATGAAAATTCAAGATACTTAAGAAATCCATGAAAATAATCGGCCATAATTCATGAAACTGAAGCGATGAACTCAAATATACAGTGCCAACCAACCTGCAGTGTCCACACTATATCTGTTGAGGAAAATATTGTTCCTATTGCTGAATCAAATTGGTAAGAAATAAGGTTGAGCCAAAAAGTTATATGATAAAAGAAATGTTAGTACATTATCATGGCATGTTAAACCAACACCCAAGGAAGGCAAGATGGGTAAGGATCAAACCAAGATAGTCATGGGGAGTTAACCCAACAAACTATTGCTAAGATTAAAGTTTTGATGAGTAAACTAACAAGAAAACTATGGCAAGCAAGCCAAGGATCATTATATAAACTATTGCATGTACCAAACCAAAATTGAAACTATATAATATTTAGACTTCTAAAAATAGTCATTTCTAGCGAATATAACTTACTAAGCTCCTCGAATGACTCAAATAATCGTTTCCAATATTGGGAATTTACATAACCAGTAACCAAACAAGCAGTCCTTTAATACGTGAAATTAATGAACTACCATTATATAAACTATTGATGCACATAATTGTTAAGGACAACTAAAACATTCCTAAAAAAGTTGTATTTGAGAAGTACCTATCCCCCAAAGCATGATTTCTAAAACTACAAAAAAAACATGAATAACACAATGACAACCCAATTTGGGAAAGAAAAATGCACAAAAAAAATAAAAAATAAAAAAAAATTTAAAAATCAATATATCTGAAAATCTGACCAGTGAAGTTCATATGTTGTTCTGCAATTGAAAATAGGGAAATTTCTCAACTTCCATGATAAAATTGGACAAGCTTTAAGATCCTTAGTAGAGTATCTAAATAAGACAACAAAGTCCAAAAACAAAAACCAAAAAAACAAAAAAGAGTCATACTGAGTTAATCAAGATCCTAGAGCATCCAAATAAGACAATCAACTAAATTAATTTTTCTGTTTTGGTTGTCTATGCACTAAAATTAAAAGCAACAAAATTGAGCATTTTCAATATTTAACACACCATGAAAACTGATAATTGGACCACACACATATGTTGCAGACAACTGCTAAACCATGATGAATTCTTTGTATATAAGCATTCTCTGTATATGTAGGCGAGAGCCCAAATTAAATTAAGTTATTTGGCATTTGGTAACCAGTAGACTAGTAACCCTTATTATTCCTTGGCCAGCTGGACTATATATACTATCTTCATTATTATTATTATTTTCTCTTGACTAAGAACTAACCAACAGAAGAAGAATGAGACAAAAAGCAAAGTAGGTCATTAATTTCTCTCATTCTCACCACTTGGAAGCAGCTCAATAGTCCATCAATGAGTAAAAAACTATATTTAGATTTACAAATTTCATTATTAATGAATATCACTATAAGTCTAACTAGTCTATCATTGCATCCACGAAACAGCACTTTCGTACTAAATCCACACAATTTAAGCAAAATAACAAACAGCTATTCACAAGCAGAGCACAGAAGAAAAATTAATAATATACCCACTAAATCTTCACAAACCAATGGGAAGAAGATGAGCAAAGAGAGATTCACAAACAACTATTCAAAACAGAGCACAGAAGAAACATCTAAGAAAGAAACAAGTTTCAAATGTTCCTAAAATTTGAGCTCAACTAACCTCTGATCTCACTGATCGAAGAAGACGAAGAGTTCCAAATCCACAAAGACGAACACCACAACTGGAATCACCGAGCTAAAGAAGGTTTTGAAGGATTCGATCTATTTTTCTAAGATTGTAGAAGGTGGTGCTCACAATCGAGAGAGAAAGAACTTCAAAATCAAAATTACAATCACTCTGAGATGAATCACTAAGAGGAATCACCATGCTGAAGAGGAATCGAGCGAGAGAACGTCGCATTGATTTGATCCTCTGAGACTGAAATTAGGGTTTAGAGAGAGAGAGAGAGAGAGAGAGAGTCACCTTGGAGTTGTGAGAAGAGATCGACTTTGTGTAGGGTTTGGAAATAGGGGTTTAAAGAGAGACAGGGAGTGGGTTTGGAAATAAGGATTTGGAGGCGCTTTCAAACGACCTCTATTCAGAAACGGGACCGTTTTAATTAAGACAAAAGGTGACGTTTACAAAACGTTGTTAATTATTAGAAAAAGTGACGTTTAAATAATCGCCGTTAATTAAACGTCGCTAAATCCATGATTTCCTGTAGTGATTGTAGAAATTTAAAGTTAATAAAATGTAAACTCTATTGTCCAGTGGTTCTTAGGTGTATTTTGGCAACTAAGTTAAAAGTCAGTTTATTGATTTTTTGACTTTTTAAAATCATATCACATATCTATTTTTGTGCACATTGTTCAAAAAAAAAAAAAAATCAAAAAATCAACTTTTTACCTATTTTTCAAAATAGGTCTTAGTAGGACTTGTTTGGGAACTTTAGGGTTTAATAAAAAAGTTAAAAAAAAAAAAATATTACAAGTTGTTAAATTATTATCTCTATTTTTTTTATATATCTTTTTATAAAAATTTAAAAACATTCCTAGATTAGTTTTCTCGTTTATAGGAGGGAGACGGGTTCTATGCATTTACATTTTTCTTTTCTTATACTTTATTTAGAAAAGGTCTTATTAACATGTGTTCTTAGGATGTAACGCCCCCAAAATAATATAATAATTCCAATTCATGAACAGAAGAATAACGGAAATGGAATACTTTTATTCATCAGAGTCCATATTACAAAAGATAATACATGCAGTATACTTTCATAAATATACATCTTGAATCTATAGCATGTAGTACCAGTTAATGACAACAAAATAAATGCCTTACGGGTTTACATCTTTCCAAGACTTTACTTGGTTACAACAGAAAAGAGAGTCATAAGCTCTATACGTATAAAGCCCTTGGCTTGAATAGACATTTAACATGTAAACAACAAAAGAGAGCTTCTAGCTCCTAGGTCCTCCCAAGCTATGTCCTTGGAGGAAGCATGTTACTGATACCTGAAAATGGTTTCCCATGTAGAGTGAATCAAAACCTAGTAAAAATAGGCTATCACGATATATGAGATTTAACTAAGATAAGTGCTAGATAAATGTTCAATATCCAAGACCAATTTACATTCTTTCCATAACCATTCAATACTGATATTCACACCTCAATCCATTTCCATTTATTCATTCCAAGTTAATTCGTTTAATTTCAAGTCATATGACGAGCATATAAAATTTTCAAATAACCCAACTGAGATTACAATTCAGTGGTTCTCAATCAACATAATTATCACACAAACACTTCAACTTTGCCATTTTACAAAAATTTCGTCAACAGGATCGGAACCCATATATACATAAGATTTCGAAACTTTCACCCTAGACACTCCGGCCAACTTAATTCTCTATGGAGTCCATCCTCTATCTCCTCATAAATAATGGAATACATTCTCTTTCTCCTTCCAAAACGATATACATATACAATGTATTTAAAGCATCGTCATATTCAATGACAATCAACTATACATATTCAATGCCTTGTCATACTGTCATATTCAATGACATAATTAAATGATTAGTTTCAATTCACTTAATTCTCACGCAATTTCTACAACAATCATAGCTATTCTCCACTGATAGCCCAATACAGATATTTCTACACTGATATGCAATTTTTATAACAGATAATTCATCAAATTTCCATAGGTGAGTGATTAAACAAATCCAACTACACCATTCATTTATACTTTTCCCCAATTTCACATTTTTACACCAATTTCATTATTTATACAAAATAATTATTTAACACATATTAGGGCAAATTTCCTCCCTTTTCAAATATCAATCCCAAGGCTAAAATCCACCATTTTAACACAAGATAACCTCATATTCAATGCCCCATATTCATTTGTGGAACCCGACATAGAAACCCCTCTTTCAATTTGAAACCAAACCCTGGCTTTACTCCAATCCCCCCAAACAATTCCACAATTTGTACATAACAACAAATAATTAGGTTAAAAATCATATTAAGGTGTAGAATATCCTTACCTCAAGTATAGAAGCTCAAAGGAGAAGTGGAGAAACCTCAAAGACGCCCAAACTCAATTTTATTCGGATCAAATGGAAGTTCACGGATTGCTTCACCTTTTTATCAAAGGGAGTATGATAGAGAGATCCTTAGATCTAGGTGTATATGTAGAGAGGGGTCGAATTTTAGAGAGAATGAGCCGATTTAGGATTTTTGAGTGAAAAGATAACAAAAAGTGATGTAAAAATGAGCTACTACGAATTGATATAGGCGAGGCTCGCTTGAGCGAATGAGTTGTCGTTCGAGCGACCAGACACAATAAGTGGATTCGCTCGAGCGCAAGAAGCGTTGCTTGAGCGCATAATACATACCTTCAGAAGTTTTATAGATGCACACTGTCGCTCG